AATCGTCCATCTGACCCAAATATATTAAATTTCGACTTTTTGCAAAAATAACATAATTTCCTATGTTATAAATCTTTGCATATGTTGGATTTTGTAAACGCTAGGCGTATTTTTGTTGTTTTCTTGTTGACAAAGAATTTCGTTCTTGCTGATCGCCCATTGTATGTATTTATATACCCAACTGACTCCTCTGATAGTCGCAGAGATAATTTTTGTTGCAAACTATTCTTTTAAATGCAAGTTTTTCAATATTTAGTTTTGTGTCTTACAATGAAGGCGCTTCACACTTCATTTACATAATTAATATAATTATTTTTTGTGCAGAATTGTAAATATCGAATTACAAATAAAATGGAAATGCAAGAAACTAAGGTACAATGGAAATATTATACACAATATACATAACAAAATATACACAACATGCGCAATGCAGCAGAAATGATGAAATTTACTGTGATTTTAGAAAGGTATACTTCAGGCATAATATGTTTGTATTTTAACAATTATCTTATATTTTTCTGCAACTAATTTTATAAATTCTTTTACTTTAACAATGGTCTTATATTTTTTCCTCCAACTAATTTTATGAATTCTTTAAGCTCTTTCATACAAGGGCTTCATATGTAGGCTTAAACTTCTCAGTGGCCTATGAAAGAATATTCATTTCGTTTCTTCTAAAAAGCAGTTATATATATATATATATATATGACTGCTTTTTTAGAAGAAAAAATTAAACTTTTTTAGTCTGATATATATATATATATATATAACAGACAGTATCTGCTTCAAAAGCAGTCTTTTTCATGTAATCTACTGCTTAGTTTAAAAATCTTGACGGGGTGGAAAAAAATGCTGCTCAAACTGAATTGAAATTTAAATTTCTTTCCGTTACTGCCATTAGTATTTAAAATGTGGTTCTATGCAGCAGTTTGAAATAAAATAGAGATGTATTTCTTTGCAAAATATCAAGCTAAGTTTGTGGCATTTCAGAATTTTCAAGTCTCATATTTATGCACCTACTTTTACGCGTTCTTCTTTTCTGACGTCCTCTCGTCACTTCATTTCCTCATCCTATTTGCCATCATCATCGTTACAATACCGTACAGTTTCACTAGCACAGAAGCGTTAACGATATTAACACTAAATTAACTCCTCTACCACTCACATTATATGAAGCTAAGATCATTTTCAGGTGTTATCATGTTCCCATCATTCTAATATCGCCATCCTTTCGATTTCATTAAGCAGGAGCTTCCCACAAATTGAATGGCGGCTGCTAAATGGGATCTTATCGGCACTCTGATTAAAGCATTAAATTGACCTTAGACCTTACTTAAAGACTTCGCAAATGGATTGTATTTCTTCCGTTTTCTGAATGTACCTTAGATTCAGACCTCTTTAAAGGCTAAAAAATTCACTGAATTTTTATGACTATTAAAAAATTAAAAAAAGATTTGAGTAATGTTTTTCTTACTGCATCAGTTTCCAGTTGTCTGAAAATACAGGGTAGCGAGTTCATGGAGTACATGAATATCATATTATATGTATTCAAGACCACGAAAGTCGTGTATTCTTAAATGCATTTAAGCAATTCGTATATTATTCTTTGACTTCAACGGGCTCTTAATAACCCAAAGTATAGTCCTGTTTGAATCTTAGACAGATATTTAAATCTTAGTCTTTCTGAATATCTTAGTCATTCCGCTTTGTTACGTTGTGTTAAATTACGCCTCCGTAGATGTATCAGCGATTTGTTTTATCAAGTGCCGCCACTGTGCGATACATAGCTTGTTTAATTTATTTACCGTAGGCCTCGCGCATAATCAATGATTATGCTTTCACAGAGGTATCATGCATCTCTATTTTCGTAGCTTACCTTGGATTTGTTTCGTAAGAAGATCATTTAATGAACTTGTGACGTACTCAGATCTCTACCATGGAATTCTCTTAGGTTGTTAGAAAGCGCTATTTAATAACAGATATATAACTGATAAGAAACATCGTACTGAAATATTGAAGCAAATGCAATCACTCCTGAGTATTGCTGTTTGGCAAAACGTAAGATTTTTATTTTTCGAATTAGATCCATGTAACTGCTTAAGAAGTAGATCTATTTATAAGCAATAAAGTCACCCTTTAAAAGTCCTCATATTGTAATAATTTACTGAAGTATTATAAATTAAAATATATTTTTGTAACGTCATATATTACGTAATACCTCATACAGAATTCTTATTTTACATCTAAGAATGACAGGCATATTATTCAATATTAAGTTGCCTATAATTTGTACATTTTTTACTTTTAATAAAATAACAAAATATTATAATTATTATGTATATTACTGCATTTTTGGTTTTAGTATATGTCGAATAAATGGAACACTTGGCGCAGACACTTTGATTTCATTTAAGTTTATTAAAAAAGTTAAAAATGAAGTAACGAACAGCACTTTCAGGTATTTTGACTATTCGGAATGATATCGTAGATGGTCCTGTAGATGAGAAACAAAAGTATTTTTTTTCTCTGGAAATAAGCGGTAAGAAAATTTCTATCAATATTGAACCGACATCAAGTCATGCCTCTGTAATGCTTCAGACTTGCAAAAACTTTTCAAAATGCCAAGAAACTGTAGTCAGATTGTGCCCATTTGTATCGAAACCGAGTTTTTAAACGCTGTTTCTGTTTGCAAACAGAAAATTGTAATTTATCTGAGATTTTCTCTTGTTTAGTAATCGGCGGGTGTCACTCACTAGTTATAAAAAGTGATCAATATTTATCACTTTTCATTAATTTACATATTAAGACATTTATTATGCAATGTATTATATATTACTGAGATTTATTTTAAAATTTCATAACTTATTCTTTAGAATCTGTTACAAAATGAAATGTAAAAGTACTAAAGACAACGCCAAGCTAACATCATAATAAAATTCGAACTTTTCTTTAGATATTTATTTATTCGTTTTTACATAAATATAGATGCACATGTACATTTGAAACAATTCTTTTCAAAACTGATCTAAACGCTAAGGTCATTCTTGTGCTCGAAATGCATATTTAGTCCGAAAATCTTGTACAGAAAAACGATTAACATTGTCAGCCTTTAAAAGATTTTAATTTAATCGAGGAAAATACTCCCACTTCAGTGGAGAATATATACAATATTGCATCAGTCGCCACACATATATCTATTATTTACTTCTTGCATTGTAGCATTCAAACTGCAGCCATGAATTCTTTATTAAAGGCTCAGACACTAACAAGTACTTAGTAATGTTTGTACCCGCCTATGGTTGTTATTAATAATTCGCTGTAGTCCTAAATCCTATTGGGATGATACGCTTTTACGCATGGTTTACTTTCCTCTTGACATTAATGTATAGCTTTTCCGATATTGCGTTCCTTTCCTGCAATGCACTTAACTGCAACCGTGGCATTTAATACTGGTGTCAATCTCCTTGTAATTTATCGCAACTGTATATCCAGGAGATCTTTCTAGGAAATTAAAGAATGTATTAAGTGCAATTATGTAAAGCCTTTCTCATCTTCAAGTTTTTTCTTTAAAATAAATTCCTGTAAATCCATGCATTTTTTATAAAAACATTTTAAGCATCTTTTGAATTATGAGAGATTTTGCTACATGTGAGAGAAATACGAAAATAGAATAAAATTTTAGAATTTAGGGAATGATGGCCCATGAGAATGTTTGAAAATTCCAGGTAATGATTTAAAATGCCTTAAATTAGATCTTATTATCTTTAAAACAAATTTTTTCTCGTGCATGCCGTGATCGCATAGTAGTGTCGAGGATCTGTGCTTTCGTTCCCGTAAAGTCAGATTTAATTTTTCGCGTTTCTTCTAAGAAAATTTAAGTGTCGACAGATTTATCTTAATTAAAATGTTTCATTGAATAGCAATACATTACCATCGATTACATTTCTGTACGCTACGTGAAAATGATAGCGTACTCCTGACAGCATACTGCTACTTAGAAAGCACATATCTGGAAACTAGCAACTTCTCCTTATAAACAAAGACTGATCATTAGCCGAGTGGTAAAGTAGCTGGACGTTGGGTTGGCTTCATGGATACTTTTTATGGTTATCTCCATATGTAATGTGGATACGAGCCAGTTTTCGTTAGAAAGTCGTCCATGAAGATAGTCTCTCCCCAAGATAAATAGCCTTCCTGTGCGTTGTCTTAATTAAAAAATCCAAGACAAAACGCATAAATAGAAAATTTCAAGTTTAGCAGAGATGATGTAATTCTGGGTGTATTTTTAAGCAGGATAGTGCTCATCTTAAAGCTAAGCATTGAATCGGTAAGTCGTGTTATTACTCGAAAAACGATGCTACTCTGGTTTCGAGTCTCTTGCCAATGTAGCCAGTCGTGTCCCTCGTATTCATTTGACATTGGAACATTCTGTCTCTTTTCTGAATTCACGTTTTAACTGTAGCGCTAATAGGTACACAAGAGAGCAGAAAAATGAACATTTGGTTAAATAATCTGTGACACATCATTGAATACACTACAGAAGTGCTTCAAAAAGTCTACAAGTTCAAAAAAAAACTGTTTCGTTATTTCCCTTTTTAAGAGTTTTATTTTAAAAGTCGATGCACTTCGGTATTATAATTTAAGACTTTAAAGCATATAACCTAGTTTTCAAATTTTATCTCCTATGTATGTTCTTTACCAATGATAAAAATACTTGTTAAAATTACAAGATTGCCTAAGCTTTTGAAACATTGGATCACTTATAGTCAATAGTGTTAAATTAAATGATTAGTAAAATGATGAAAATACATAAGACAGAAAGGACTTATTCGGATCATTCATCTTCTATTTGTTTTAAAAATTATCCTCTAGTTAGTGCAGTTTGTAAGATAACAACTGTTATTCAGTCCGTCTCGAACTGCATCTCTGAACTTGCGAACAGCAGATTTCAAAACGTATTTGGTCTTCCACTGTATCTAATACAATTCTTTTTCTTGCAGTGAAACATCAAGGTGAGATGAAACCGGCTGTTTGGTACCTGTCGGCCTTCGTTATAATACTCTTCTACCTTTACCTTTCTGCTGTTCAGTATGTTCGCGGAGTACAAATAGACTACACCTACCACAACTATGAACAGATGACTAAATTATTGCAGGACATTAGTAGAGAGCATCCCGACTTTGCGCTGCTCTATTCTATTGGGAAATCTGTTCAAGGTAAGTTCTTGTATTATTATGACAGATATAGAACTGAGTTGCTTTCCTTGTTCTAGACAATATGTACATTTAATTAAACTAAATTATTTTTAAAGTAGTAGATCATTGTTCCTTATGAAGGGTATGCAACGAGAATAAGTTCATCTATAAGATGCAATATGAGCATTATACGATTAAAATTAAAATGGCAATTTACTATTGCCATTTTAATATTTCGGGCATACCGAATCATCATACTTAATAGTCATTAAAAGGAGTAGGAAGCAAGTTAGCATCTCTAGACTGAACAGTAAATATTTAAGTTCTCGAGAAATAAAATGCATCAGATTTCTCTGTTGTACATCCATTCTTGTTACCTTCAACTCCTCAATCAACTTTCAAAGGCCTCGAAATTCGAAGACTGACGAACTGAGCATTTAGCTCAAGGAACAATAGTAGAAAGAACATCCACGTTGTTCCATATATTGCTGATGTACTCAGAGAGCCGTTAAAGTATATCAACAGAAATTTTCTTGCTACTATCTTGTAAACAGGTCAATGAAATCAATATCTAGTCGGACAAATCTATATGTGTTTGAATTTGTGATGATAATGATAGTTTCTCTTTATCGATTAGTTGTAATCAATATGTTGGAGCAGCGGTTCAAATCATTATGGTACAGTGAATCGTCGTTAGATAACTGAGTAATGAATATCTCAGATTTTTCGAGATTTAAAATTCAGTTTGGAGCTGAGCGTTTCTCTGTCTAAAGTATAGGATTGCTGCAAGGCTTTTAAAGGACCTATAAGATCCCAAAATGCACTACATGCTTGTAAATTTCAACTTGATAAAAGAAAGCGGATTACTGTTGATGCAGTAATTCGGAATAATCGAATGATCATCATCGTAAAAATTACTAAGAAACCTTAAATATTTGTAGTAGTGTGGATAGATTAGTTAAAGATCATCGTGTTAGCTAAGTTGAGCGCCAAGTAGTTTCCCTTTTTCTTCATGCTTGGACACAAAGGAAGAATTGTTATAGCCGTACGACTTCTGCAGCGATATGCAAAGATTAAATACACATTTTTAGACTTAGTAGAATATATGATCCAATCTAGAATCAAAACTAGCAAAAATGCAATGACAAAGAAATTCAAGTCTTAAGTTATTGCGCTGTGCGAGAATGAATCAACATGTAAGGAAAATATTTTTATTTTACTGGAATTGAGAAATTTTCTGTGTGCTAGAAAAGTATATTACGATGGCAGGTCAGTGCATAGAAAAATAAATGTAAATTGATTTATTGTATTCGGTACATAAAGTTTAGCTTAGAAATTTCTGTTTATATGTGGACGGCTCTTGCACCTTTAAATAAACATCCAATTATATTCTTATGGTAAATAAAGATGCATATGATTATATCGCCAAACTATTTACTTCAACAGGTTTTAGACATGTAAATAATTGAATTTGATTGATATGTGAAATCATTCGGCAAAAGGCATTTATGTCACTTTTCTTGGATATATTGAGCTTGAATCTATAATGGTACTGCTTACCTTAAAAAATATTCTCTACATCGAATTTAAAAGAACGTCATAGTGTTTTGTATAGAATATAATTAAAATAATAATATAAGAGAATAGAAATTTGATCTCTATCCCCTGAAGAAAGTTTGTTAGAGTTCTTTGGGAGAGCAGTTTTGTCAGACATGGGCTATTTTTTCAGACGCAGCGAATGTGTAGCAAAGCTTACGAGACATAAAATTTTAACCCATATAGTCTAACAGTTTATCTACAGATTCCAAATAACAAAAGTAGCTAATATTTGCTCCTTTATTCTCAGATTCATGTTTTTCTTTATGCTTTATTATTTATTTATTATCGACTATTGCGGTGCTTGATCCAAAATATTTATGTCATATAATCCTAACTCTTTATTTTTTCATCGTTTTCCCATGTTTCCTTTCCTTGTATTTTGAAAATGCCGAACACCAAGAGTGACTTCAACAAGATTCAGCAATATTTTTTCTTCTCCGGTATTTTTACTAAACGATATGAAGGATTAAATTTTTTTTGGCGGGGATGAATTGCATTTACTTCAAAAATCAGCAGTAAAATTCACGCCACCCCCCCAAAAAAAAGCTTTTTTTCTAAACTGACAAGTTTCCCCTAACCTTAAGGTTCCAGTCTCGAGCAGAATTTTTAGGCGATGCCCTATTCGCAAAACCTGGACATTCATAATCCGGAGTTAGTTGGATTCACACTGTACTATTTACAAAATGCATACGAGAATTGATACGGATCAAAACGCCTTGAAATATCGTTAACTGAACATCATATTCATGTGTCATGTTCTTATAAGATTGCTGAAAAAGCATTTTCTTAGGAATAAAAAGATTTTAAATTTGGAAACGCCTGTCCCTTCAGATGACTATATTTAATCAATTACAGACTTAACAAATTACAGGTGACAGGTGACGGAGGACGGGGACGCCTGACGTATAACATAGGTAAACAGGCATATGTCCCACGTCCTCCACTATCTCGAAGAAGCAACTCGCTGGAGCCCCGTGAGGCTGCACCAGGAGTTTACATGGCCATACAGGGGCTAGATGTCGGGTAGTTTTTACATAGGACGTTGTTAATAACACAAAGTAACTTAGAAAGAATATAAAGGATAGCATTAAAACACTAAAACACTCATATAAGCTGAAACACATAGATATACAAAATTAAACGTAAAAGTAAAGCATAAAAACACACTCGTAATTACGTAACATAAAGACATAGAAAACACACACGAAAATACATATATCATGACACATAGAATACATATGGAAACACGTAGAGCACATAAATGCAAATATTACACTCAGAAGAAACATATAGAGACATAGTAAGGTGTGCGTAAAGCAGTAGCGCTGTGCGGAAATATGCTCAGTTCCCATAATACATAATGTACATACTTTCATTAGGGGCTTCTGTTGCATGAATTTACATATTTCGTTGCATACACTGCACATTCGTGCATTGTACGGATATTATATATTTCGATTTACGATAACACATCATTCCATTGGGTGCCCAGTGCTTCACACTGATAAACATGTCAGTAACATTATATCTGCAAGTTGGTGGCTATTGAAAGCAGATGTTAACACGAGGCTCGAAATTGAATGTGGAATGTGTATTACAGAATGTGTACATACTGCGAATATCTAATAGTTTGAGTACATTGTCTGCAGTACCATGCTACTGTGGCTCGCAAATGTCTTGCCCTAGGGCGTTGATTTGCTGTACAACTGCGCAGATGCTCCTTATAGCTGGCGGGTGTTTGATTATGAAACGATAGTAAAGTGTTCTATCATTCGTTGGATGTGGTAAGTGGTGGTTTGTTGTTAGACTGCAGTCAAATACATAGTGCTCGGGAGAACCTAGCATGCCACAGACACAATTGTCAGATGCTGAGATGCCATGACGCATAAAATAAGATGGAAATGGGCCATGACCCGTCATGTACTGTGTCAGTGGGGCTATTTTTAAGACGTTCCGTGTCTACCTTTGGTAGGAAGTTATACGTCCTTCTTCCTGTGTCGCCACTATTCCATTCTTCTTGCCACTTTTCTTTACAGATGTTACGCAGAGTTTTCTTGAGGTGTGAGACGGGGGTAGGGGCACTTATAGTTTGAGCGTGGATGTGTTGGCAGCCTCATTAGCCAGTCGGTCTGCGACGTCATTCCCTTCGTTGTCGGAGTGTCCTTTTACCCATACCATGTTAAAGCGGGCTTGATGATTATTGCGTAAAAGTTGCTGTATGAATAATAAGCTAAGTGAACTAAATTAGCAGAAAATAGTGCTTTCATAAACCTACAAACATCCGAAGACGAAACGTTTGAAGCGAATGGAAAATACACTCATGTCCATAAATTAAGGGAAATTCGGAGTCACGCGGAAATCGAAATCTAAAATAAATATATATCACCTGTAAAATCACTACACACATTTTCAAGAATCCTATGCAAATTTCAGGAAATAACCAGATGACACCGATGGTACGTCACAATGACGAGAGTGTAAAAGAGTGATATATAAGGAATATATGCAAAGAACTAAAATTGTTCGCATGCGCTTTGTAAGCTTTTTAGTGCGATAACCGTATAGTTATGACACAAAGGACGCATTTGGATGATTTTTTACGTGGTAGAACTATCGGCCGTCTGGAATGTGGGCGTACCCAACTGGAAGTATCAGACGAACTTGGAATTGGCCAGAGTGTCATCTCCAGGCTTTGGAAACGATTCCAAGATGATGGTAATGTGAGTAGACGTTACAGCACAGGTCGCCCCAGAGTTACAACGCCGAATGAGAACCGGTATTTGGCAGTTACTGCCAAAAAAAAAAGAAAAAAAAAACAGGCGGAGCACAGCCTCAGACCTGTCTCGTCATCTCTCTTCAGCCACTGGTACAACAATTTCAAGGCAGACCGTGTACAGACGCTTAGAGCAGATTGGTCTATTCGTAGACCTGCCAGATGCGTTCCACTTACTGCAACTCACTGCCGCCTGCGGTTAGGCTGGAGTAGAGAGCATGCATTGTGGACACCGCAACATTGGGCTTGTGTGATGTTTTCCGACGAGTCCAGGTTTAGCTTGCAGTCTGATTCTCGCCGGACTTTCATATGGAGAGCTCCAGGTACCCGTTACCACCAAGAAAACATCATTGAACGACACCGTTACGGTGGTGCAGGAGTGCTCGTTTGGGGTGGAATTATTCTGGGTTCCAGAACTGACCTGCATTTTCAATGCATGTTCTGGAACAACATGTGCGTTTGTTTCGCGGCGGCATGGGCGCAGAATTTGTGTTTATGGATGACAACGCCCGTCCTCACCGTGCAAACATCGTAAGCGCATGCCTTCAATCGGAGGATATCACCCGTATGGACTGGCCAGCATTCTCACCGGACTTGAATCCAGTAGAGCACGTGTGGGACATGCTTGGCCGACGAGTTGCAGGCCGTC